AGAAAGAAAACAACCCAATTAAATACCAGGCCACAGATCTGAGCAGACACCTTCCCAGAGGAGACACACAGATACTAATTAGGGACGCCCGCCTTAGGAGCTGCGGATTAGCACAAGGAGGTGGCACCACCCACACCTGGCTGCAGCCGGGGCCCTGCCAGTAAGGAGCGCTGGGAGGGCGGGGATGCGAAACCGTGCGGCCGCCGTGGAAGACAGTGTGATGGTTTCTCACAAGACTAAACCTACTCATCAAGTGACCCGTCCAGCCATCGCATCCCTTGGTATTCACGCAAAGGAGTTGAAAACTCACGTCCACACAAAAACCTGCACACAGACGTTTACAGCAGCTTTATCCATAACTACCAGAATGTGGAAGCGACCAGGATGTTTTCAGCAGGTGGGCGGATGAATAAACCTTGGTCCATCCAGACAACGGGATTTTATTCAGAGACACAAAGAAATGAGCTGCCAAGCCACGAAAGACACGGAAGAACTTTAAATGCTTGTTACTGAGCAGAAGAAACCCATCTGAACTGGCTGCCTGCTGCCCGGCCCAGCTCTGGGGCGTTCTCGGGAGGGTCAGCCTACGGAGACGGTGAAATGAGCAGGGGTTGCCAGGGCTGAGGGGAGGGGCGAGGCGGCGGACACGGAGGAGTCTGGGGGCCACAAGGACCCTGCGTATGGTGCCGTCCTGATGGGCAGTGCCACTACATTTGTCCAGACCCACAGAATGCACAGCACCAGGAGTGAGCCCCCAGGCCGACTGTGTGTGGGCAATGAGCTGCGTCAGCGTGGGCTCCCAGTTGTGACGATGTCCCCTCTGCTGGGTGTGAATACTGCTAACCCTAACCCTGACATTGGTTTTGAAATGGAACCTGGGTGCTGGCTCTTGTGTTCCCTTCCCAAGGAAGGAGCTGGGATGCCGTTGCCCAGACAAGGAGCCTGTGGCCCAAAGGAGACTGACCTCCGTGGGAGGCGCGCTGGCCCGTCTGCAGCGCCTGCTCCCGTGCCAGCCCCGCACCGTCACCACTGCCCGTGCGGAGGGCGGTGGCTCCCCACCTCGCGGTCAGAAGCCCAAGACCGCAGGCGATGCGGCGATGCCCCAGGGTCACCGAGCGGTCTGCAGCCGGGGCCTGCGCTCCAGCCCCTCGCTGCCGCCTTGGACGTGCGGGCCGCCGCGTTGGCCCGCGCTCCCCTCCCGTCTGCGCTCTTCCGAGGTGCAAACCCGCGTCGGGTTTCTCCAGAAGCACTGGGGGGCAGCAGCACGCCCACAGCCCCCGCTCCGGCTGAGAGGAGGGCTCGTTCCTCGGGACCCACAGACACAGGCCCGGAGAGTCTGCACGAAGTCACATCACGCCCCGGGCTCTGGCTCCCGTTTCCCGGCTCCCGCTCCCCGACCGGGCCGTCTCCGGCTCCGGAG